ACTATTCTATTATTACTATTACTATTCTACTATTACCATTTCTTTTCCTATTCCAATTACTATTACTATTACTATTCTACTATTACTATTTCTATTCCTATTACGTTTTCACGCTCTTTTTTTCCTCTCGAGTACTTCTTGAATTTCATCTTTCCACCACCTTGTCTCCTTTCCATCCTTCATCCGTCTCCCAGTACGGCCGACCACTTCCTCGGCAGCTGCCACCAGTGTGCTCTTCGTCTGCCCCCACTGCTCCTCTACTCCATACTCAATCTGCACCTGCTGTCTCCGCCTCCTGACACTCTAAGCTTGCCAAATTTATCCTGTCAGCTTCCATAGTCTGATCTTTGGTTTTCTCGTATCTCTCCTTCCCTCTGCATGTCTCCACTTTACATCGCCCACAACCCTGTGCTGCTTCATACATGTGTATGACTCTCCAAGTAAAATATAACCTTGCAGTTCGTACCTGGTGTCTTTACTCCATTCCTCACCAGTATGTAATCGTCTTGTCTTACTCTTTCCCCACGTCTATATATATGTTATCAGATTTGATCATAACACATGATGCAGCCTCACACATGTGTATGACTCTCCAGTTAAACTATAACCTAGCAGTCAGTACCGTGTCTCTAAGTGTTCAGTCTCCTTTCCTCACCAGTTTGTGATTGTCTTGTCTTAACTCATTCCCTACTTCTATATATATGTTATCAGATGTGATCATCACTGATGGTGCAGCCTCACACATATAAGTTATATAATCATATTAAGTTCCTTTATATAAGTTTCCTTTTATAAGCTCCTAGCTGTTATATTGTATTGTATTTTATCCTATTGTATTGCCTTCCAGTGACAAACATGTTAATGTAAGTATACTGTAATTACGCCGGTATTTTTCGCGTGCAGGTATTTTCGCGAATTTAGACTTGACGGACAATTTCGCGAGTGGTTAATTTCGCGGGTGGTGAATTATGAATTATTCGCGAGTTGTTATTTTCGCGGTCGGAGACGCTTACGCGAAATTCGTGAAAATAATCATTTATTGCCTTCCAGTGACGAACATTTTAATGTAAGTATACTGTTTATGCCATATTTTTCGCGTGCAGATATTTTCGCAAATTCAGACTTGACGGACAATTTAGAGAGTGGTTAATGTCGCGGTCGGTGAATTATGAATTATTCGCGTGTTGTTATTTTCGCGGTCAGAGACGCGTTCGCGAAATTCGCTAAAATTAAACCATCGTAAAATATACAGCGTATACAGTATCTGAATAATTTTTTGCTACATCCTGTCATCAGGTTTCAGCATTGCATTGTATTGTATTTTATCCTGTTGTATTGCCTTCCAGTGACGAACATTTTAATGAAATTATATCTAGAAAAAGATTTGCTACATCCTGTCATCAGGTCTCGGCATTGTATTGTATTGTATTTTATCCTGTTGTATTGCCTTCCAGTGACGAACATTTTAATGTAAGTATATCTAGAAAAAGATTTGCTGCATGCTGTCAGCAGGTGACAAGTTCCTGTATTCTGTTAGGTAATATGTGTGGAATTCAGCCAATGAGCGCTGGAACAGGTAAAAACTGATATAATTGTTGTTGTGTATATGCACTGTGAAGCTGGTTAGAAGGGTGTCTTAATACCTGCACTAGCCAGCAGCCATCTACTGACAGTATGTGTGATCTCCATGTACCAAGCCTTACGAGTACGTCGCCTTGCCGTTCACCCCTGCCTTCCTTGCATGAAGCACGCTCATGTGTTATATCAGATCTGTATATTATACACTCCTGATTTTATTAGTTACGTTGGTATAAGTTTCCTTTTATAAGCTCCTAGCTGTTATATTGTATTGTATTTTATCCTATTGTATTGCCTTCCAGTGACAAACAGTAAGTATACTGTTTACGCCGGTATTTTTCGGGTGCAGATATTTTCGCGAATTTAGACTTGACGGATAATTTCGCGAGTGGTTAATTTCGCGGGTGGTGAATTATGAATTATTCTCGAGTTGTTATTTTCGCGGTCGGGGACGCTTTCGAGAAATTCGCGAAAATAATCTTTTATTGCCTTCCAGTGACGAACATTTTAATGTAAGTATATCTGAATAATTTTTTGTTACATCCTGGTACCTGCAGGTATCAGCATTGTATTGTATTGTATATTTTATCCTGTTGTATTGACTAATATATAACTACCTAAGCTAATAAACTATAATAAACTAACTAATATTAAGTATAAACGGGAAAAGTGAAAAGTGAAAAGTAAAAGGTGAAAAAGGTTATTAGTTTTAACTAATAAACTTTTCCACTAATATTTCACTGATGGTATGGTATCATATATAAATTATATATGTCAAATTTTTGGTGATGGTAAGGATGGCTATGAGGGGAAATGGAGGAGGCCATTTTTTGAGGAGTGTATAAATATAATATCGATATATATTATCTATATATTATACACTCGTCATTTTATTAGTGACGTTATATATGTTAACTAGCCTTAAAATTCATTATATCAATCATCTGGTATTGGCATCGGTAGTCCCCGGTTGTCTCCCCAGTATATTGTGATTGTTCTATTGCACTTATGACATTTCAAAACCAGCTGTTTATACATGAACTCGCACATGTTTATCCTGATAAATAGTACATGACATTATCTACATAGATGCAGGTACCAACTGATCGTAGCCGTGTTGCATTCGTGTAGCACGCGTTGCATCGTCAAGTTTCTTTTATATATGTCAGCACTGTGAAGCTGGTTAGAAGGGTGTCTTAATACCTGCCTTAAATCTTTTTCTAGATATACTTACATTAAAATGTTCATCACTGGAAGTATATCTAGAAAAAGATTTGCTGCATGCTGTCAGCAGGTGACAAGTTCCTGTATTCTGTTAGGTAATATGTGTGGAATTCAGCCAATGAGCGCTGGAACAGGTAAAAACTGATATAATTGTTGTTGTGTATATGCACTGTGAAGCTGGTTATAGAAGGGTGTCTTAATACCTGCACTAGCCAGCAGCCATCTACTGACAGTATGTGTGATCTCCATGTAACAAGCCTTACGAATACGTCTCCTCGCCGTTCACCCCTGCCTT